ACGGACTCTTACGGGCTGTTTGCGTCCAAATTTTGCGCAGAATCTCACGTCCCACGCAAGTCCATTTTACGAAATTTGGAGTTCGCAGACAGCCCGTACGCACGAAAGATTCTACGAATAGCCTGCGAACAGCGAGGCCGCAACCGTAACTTGCTCCCCTCGCCCGGAGTTATCAAGAGAGACGCGCGTTGTGCAAGATGCACGTCGCAAGCAATGAAGGAACAAGTGCCCTTTGCCTGTTGAGTAAGGCGCACGCCCTCACAACTAACGAACAAAGTCGAGAGCACACCGGAAATGCGTCGCACATGCGTCACCCCCACGCCTGGTGTATAAAAGGCGTGCTCACGACGCACGCACGTGTCTTTACAATGAACGTCGACTGTGTAACGTGTACAACAATTTTCAAAAAATTCAATTTTTTTCACAATTTAGTTTCTAATATGCCTCCAAAAGCCTAGAAAAAAAAGCTTACATAGTAGAAAAAAGGGAGGAGGAAGAAGAAAAAAGAGGAGAACAGGAAGCAAAACTGACGTACGCCGTCAGTACGTCAACACAAACGTGTGAGGCAAGTGTGAAGCAAAACTGACGCAAAAGGGCACTACTTTCGCCGTGCGTTGCATTCCCTTCGTAAGTAGTGAGTGTGTGCCACGTACACAGAAAGCAAGACAAAATGAGTACAATTTCCACGGCCATTGCTCCTTGCAATTAGCGTCCCTGCTTGAAAGGACATCTCATGTGGCCCTTGCGACTCGCAAGGCAGACTTTCCTCTACCTCTACCACCTTTACGGCCTCCGCAACACCCAAAAATCGCAGGTGACGTACGATCCTGAAATTCGTGCGTCTGGTTGTGACCGAGGCTTAAGCTAACCACAGGGCATCTATTCATATTTTGACCATCCTTGAGTTAGGACGTTTTTCATATCCCTTGATACCACTGCCTTGATGTATGTCTTATGCTTCTAATTATTAACATAATACAGACAATACAGCACAATTATAATTATTGTTGCACAAAGTTTTATCTTTCTATTTTTTATAGGTGATTTAGATACTGTCAGATTCCTTCTGAAGTACAAATACAGTCTGTTTTGGGTGAAAGAGAGAAAAAAAGGCCGCCTTGACTTCCCCTGGACCTTTAAGTCCAGTTCCTCAAAACTAACGACTTTGTTAGATGCTGGAGTGGAAATACCTTACAAGATTGACTGCATGGTGTAAACTGTTGAGAAAATCATGATATATCATAAACAGAAATGTTGTGGATTTGATTAAGATATTACTGCAGCTTGGAGATGTGAATGTGGTAAGAGAGTGGTTTGAAGAGATGGTGGTGGAAAAAATCTGGAGAAAATTTTACGCTGCATCTCGTGTTATAAGGTACGAGTCTGACGTACATTCCGTGGTACAGATCATATTGTTACTGGCGGTGACAGAAGGGGACATTAAGGACGTTCTGAGAATGCTGCACTCCGTGGGACTCAAGTATAACCTTGTTAACAGTATCTCTGCCACTCATCTTGAACTTCCTGTGGATTTAGATTCAAAAATCACCAAGTTTTATCAAGACAATTTAGCGTGTTTTCCTTCTTTGTTACACTGCTGTGTTCGAGCCATACGCAGAACTCTAGGGGAGGGCAAAGTTACTGAAAGTCTTATGAAAAGTTTGAAGCTTCCAGATTCTTTGCTTAAACTACTAACTTTGCCAGAACTGGATAACATCATAAACATGCGGTTTCCCTTATGGAAGATACAATATATTTAGTCAGTGGAATAAGCAATAACTAGGAGAGCCTCTGATGTCTTTTCTATTTTCTTTTCATCATGTTTATTACACAAAATGATACTAACGGTAATAAAGATTTTGTTTGACCTATAAATTTCAATACCCATTCCCTTAAATATGTTTTATTTCTTTACCAGAGGAGAAAATGCCAATCTGTAAAACTGTATTCGAGTTCCGTGGTGAAAGAAGAAATAGACAAACATTAAAAGCATTAGGGATGTATTCTGCAAAGATTTTATGAAAGACACTAAGAACATTCAAATTTTTCTACAAAATTTACGAAAAATACCACCCAATAGCGCAAATGATCGGGTTTGACTGCATTTCCTAATAGAAACTTAATACTGTAAGGAAGTGCTACGTGTCTAAGTTGACAAAAATGCTTAAAATATCATAAATGTATGAAATTCATTTGGCCCGGGTAAATAAAGATGAATGATTCCTCCAAAATACAAACATAATGACAAGTCCTGGACCTCTTATATTCTAAAGGTCTGTATCATAACAGTTAGAAAATGAACTTCATTTTTAGAGTATTTATTTATTTTCTATATGCAGGAACGTTGATTCTGACAATTAAAACAGAATTGTTTCAGGAAGAGCTTGAAACATAAAATGTTATATACGCTTGCTTTTCCAACCTTCTTTCCTTTGGTAAAAAACAAGTTTTATTCATTTAAATTCGCTAAATGAACAACAGACTATGAAAAGTAAAACCACAAAATTGAAATTTATTGCCCAAAGTGACAGTTCAACTCAAACGTTAAAGGCACACATCAAGCAAGTTTGCATAAAGAAACCATAATTTCATACCGTGTTGTATTACATTTTAGAAGACTCTTTCTTGACACATTCTACTAAATTGTATTTCCACCAATATTTTAAGGACATATGCCCTGAAATATAAAGTAGTTTGCTTTGAATAGCAAATTCAAACTCAAAATCCAATATTTCTCCCTATTTAGGTAATGTTACTGGGTTACTTTCCTGTTGTTTTGCATTTTAGAACTCTCTCCCTGTCACGTGATTTTCTACTAAACAGAATGTTTTTTCTGGTAAGTTATCAGTCACATCAATGAAGTATTAAACAGATATACCAGTCTTGCCTTCATATTATATTATACTATACGGGTGCAAAAACACGTAAATATTTTTTATGTGTGTGCAAATTCATGTAATCTAACAGCATATATATGATAGAATACAAAACAAAGCCTATGTAAAGATTAATTGCAAAAAAAAAAAAAAAAAAAACACCAATGTTTTAAAGGAACACAACATCAAAATAATTTTTTTAAAATGTATCTGGAGTATATATGTGTTTCACAATAGTAATACAATCAGAATAATTAAAATATACATTGTACACGTACATATGGTGTACATAAATCGTACATATATATTCATAAAGAAGAAAAGAACATCATTGCACATCTAACAATTTTATAATAAGCATGATCAAATTTAACCTCAAATCAAATGAAGCAATGACATCATTTAAAAAAGCAAGCTATGAATGAAAGCAATACACATACCATGTTTCAATACAGTTTCTATTTTTTCTAAGTTTTTTTTTTTTTTTTTTTTTNNNNTTTTTTTTTTTTATTTTTATGCAGTTATTTAAACTAATGAAAATCTATCCTTATATGCCATATGGATGAATGAAAAACAATTATCCAATAAATCAACAGCCACAAACACAACAATAACACAACAAATCAGCAATCACGTAAACAGAAATTATTATAATCTGATGACTTCTAAAAAGAACTGTGCCCTGGAACTCGGGGCACAGTTCATAACTGAACACCAACTACTATCTTAATTCGTGAGAGGAATGAAATAAAGGGTTATGAGTAAATTTAACATACAGATACAGATATAGGCTGGGAATCGTTGAATGTATTCATATTTCATATTTACGAAGCAAGTATAACATACCCTCTGACAACTAGATTACTATCTTTTTTTTCGTGGTGAAACATGTTCAAAGCAGGTCCGCTACTTCAGCACGATTGATGTAGAAGTTATATGTTCTGATAATTTGAACAGTATGCTACCAAATATAATAGTCCTTCAATCGACCATATTACCGAATGTAACCGCATTCAGGCGACCTTCCCAATGAAGCCATACTTGTTCACGGTTTTGTTGCTGATGTGATCATTCTCAGTCCATTCTATTAAATGGCAAGACACAAATTCAATATAACACACCCCTTCATTTAACCATCTTAGCGAATGTAGCCCATTCCAGTGAAGCCATACATGGCCACGGCTTTGCCGCTACCGGTATCATTGCCCTCGACATTGGTGTTTAAACTCTCCATTAGTACACACGCAGATTTGAAATCTTTTGAGACGTAGCATTTCACGTTCATTTCCATCATGTTGGACAATGAGACATCATTTGTGCTTGACTTACTGCGTTGGAGGGAGGAAGCAAACTTTTGGAACTCGTCCTCTGGCATGGCCCATATGTCATTCAATAACGAGGCATATTTATTCCTGACTTGGTCTGTAATTAAAAAAAAAAGCAGTTTTGTTGAATAAATGAGCCTCGAATTAATGTGCTTATTTGGAACTATAAAAACAAATAAAATATGATTAATAGTATAATCAACCGAACTCACAGGTTATTTTTCTCACAATATTAAGCAGAATAAATAGATGAACGGCCCAAGTGCATCAAAATGGGAGAAATGTTAAATGCCACTAACCCAGGTATGCGTTCAACTGATGGTCCTTCATAGCCTTGAACAAGTCATGAACTGTCGTTCCAGCCGTCCTTTCCTTCCACAGCCACAAAATCTGGAAGGATTGCTCCTCTGCATCGCGTACTCTATGTTGTCTAGTTTGTTGTCCGGGATTCCCAGCTGTGCACGTGCCAGCATGCGGACATCTTTGAGAGACACATAGTCACTTATCGCCATAATCACCTCGCGAAGAAGATGGGCCTGAAAAAATTACATTGATCTTAACATTCTAAAGCTTGACTGAGCATGTTGACCCCCCAGAAAAAATAATAAAAGAGAAAATTAAAAGGGAAACAAAAACTGAAAATAAAGATAAAAAAGGAAGCACATCATGGCTTTTTCCTGATTACTTGACAAATGAAGAATATATAATACATCATTTGACAGTACTAACCTGTATTGGTGGCAAGGCATATCTATGCAGCACTATCTTAACGTGTTCATGGTCCCTTTCTACAGCGATGTCATAAGCTGTTTCTCTGTGCTACAATAGTAAGGTTGCACTTTAAATATTCAGTCGCATCATTTACATAACTTCGATTTTGAGATTTGACATATTGTATTTTTTTTTACATGAGTGCTGTAGAATTAACGTATGCTTACATCTACAAAGGACAAACGTATCTGCAAACAAATAACCCAATGATTGGGAAAGGAATCATAATGTGCCTGTATGGTACAATGAATGTACCATCATCAACATCATCATGTATGTTACCAACCAAGTTCAGGGTATTTTGTCTATAGAATATTATGTGTCCACAAACCACATCGGTGATATGAGGATCAGCTCCATGCTCCAGGAGAAGCTTCACGGAGTCTTTATGGCCGTACAATGCTGCCCCATGTAAAGGAGTTCTGCCACACTGGTAACAATAAATAACTACTATAATGATAATATCCGACGTTGTCTTTCTTCACATTTCATTCATATATTTTATGTGTGCTGATAAAGGCAACACTGAGTTGAAATAATACAAGTTTATATTCAACACTGAAACGCTTCCTTGCCAATGTGAGCAAACAATCTAAAGAAGGAGAAATCATACAGTGCGTATATAAAGAGGCACTTCAATATTTGCATGTGATGTCCTGTCCCATGTTTTCATTATTTACATTGTATTAACTTATTGTTACCAAACAATAATAAGAGCAAAATGTATCAATTCTTTGCAATGAAATAGTTGGAGTATACAAACTTTAAATGTATCAAACCAAACAACTAACTCCAGGGTACTTTGTTTATATAACATTATGTGTCACTTACCTTATTCGTGATATTAGGATCAGCTCCATGCTCCAGGAGAAGCTTCACGATGTCTTCATGCCCTTTATACGCTGCCCCATGTAATGGAGCCGAGCCATTCTGGTAACAACAAATGATCGGCATAATGATATCATCTCATGTTGTATTTCTTCACATTTTATTCATTTATTTAAATCATGTGTTGGATTAACTAACGTTTTGATTAAGAAAAATGCTCAATGTATATCAGCAGTCGAATGCTTACAGGAAGAATGTTGACAAATAATCTAATGACAAAAGAAATATAATAATGTGCAAGTTAAGATAATACATTTTATTAATGCAAGGAAAGGAAAAGGATTTATTTGCACCTAACTATTTACATGTAACACCAGTCCCATGTTTTCTTTGTTTACATTATATCCACTCATTATAACCAGATGAAAAGTAAATGATTAAACAAACAAATTAAACAAAAGTTTATGACAAAACAGTAGAAGTACATGTATACCCTCCTTGTGTATATCAAACCAGTCGACAAAGTCCACGGTAATTTATTTATATAACAGTACATGAACTGCCACAAAACTGATTCGTGATATTATTTATTACTTTTGGCTTACTTTTCAAATTGTTTTTAAACGGTAATTATATGATAAAATAAAATAAACAAATTTAATAAATTATTCTAAACATTGTTTAAATGAATTATCTATTCAACGAAATCCAGTGTACATGTAGGTTACCAACCAACTAAGGACACTTTGTGTATATAGCATTATGTGTCCACAAACCTTATTGGTGATATTAGGATCAGCTCCATGCTCCAGGAGAAGCTTCACGATGTCTTCATGGCCTTCCTCTGCTGCCCAACATAATGGTGTTCTGCCCCACTGGTAACGGTTACATAAGGAACCATCATGTGTATGTATGGGAAGTTAGATATATCAGTGCAGTTATGACCAATAGCTTACTTTTCATATTATTTTAAAAGGCAATTATATAATAAAATAAAATAACAAATTAAATAAATTATTCTAAACATTGTATAATGAATCATCTATTCAGCAAAATCCAGTATCCATGTATGTTACCATATGCAAACAACTAAGGGCATTTTGTGTATATAGTATTATGTATCCACAAACCTTATTGGTGATATTAGGATCAGCTCCACGCTCCAGGAGAAGCTTCACGATGTCCTCTGCTGCCCGACATAATGGGGTTCTACCATCCTGGTAACAATAAACAAGCACCATAATGATAATATCCGATGTTGTCTTTCTTCACATTTCATTCATATATCGTACATGTACGTAAGGAAAGAAAATGGATTAACTTGCACCTAACTGTTTACGTGTAACACCGGTCCCATATTCTCTTTCTTTATATTGTATGCACTTATTATAACCAGATAAAAAGTATTCAATTAAACAAACTCATGGATCGTTTATGACAAAACAGTGGAAGTGCATGTATACCCTCCTTATGTCTATCAAACCAGCCGACAAAGCCCACGGTAATTTATCTATACAACAATACATGTACGTGCCACAAACCTTATACGTGATATTAGGATCAGCTCCTTTTTTGTTTTATTTTTATTTCTTTTCAATTGTTGGATCTTTATTTGAATATTTTTCATTCGCTTAAAAAAAAAAAAAAAAAAAAAAAAAAAAAAAAAAAAACATTACAGAGGTTAAATGTTCTGGATACATGTCATAAATAAAAAAGAGATTAAAAAACAATGTTTATTTAAAAAATACTAATCTTAACACACCATCCGTTTAACAATTTGCCGAGTATGTGGCCTATGCATGTTGTGCATGTTTTGCAATATGTGTCTCAAGAACTAGTAGTCAAAAATAAAAATATAAAAAAAATAGTAGCATTTAACTGCATAATCTAAAACTCCTATATAGATATCAATATAATTAATTATACATATACATAAATATCGCACGAACGGAAATGGGGGCTTAAGTCACACCCATGCGTCTTACCTCGTTCTCGGCATCAACTTCAGCCCCGCTGTCCAGGAATACTTTCACCATATCTGCATTCGCTGTCAGCACTGCTATGTGCAGAGGAGACCATCCACACTGGTAAAATCAAAACAATATCATATCATACTTAGGTTTATTTGCTGGATTATTATCATATGATCTCACTATTTTAGTAATTATTGCAAAATTAAGTATTATTCCGACTCCATCTTCTGTACTGGTCAGCGTATGGTCATCATCTATTATTAATACTCTCTGACCATCATTTGCATTATTTGTTTGGGCGTAATTACCAACAGACCATAGCTGATAATAATAATAGCGGTATACATGTAGCCTACCAAGGTTCCGCACAGGGTGATATAACTTGTAGGTACATGTAAAGTTCGTTAGTATTTAGGACATAAATACCACGAATTCTACCACGAAAACTCTGTAACAGTCAAAAGGAGGGGTGCGCTTTGACCACACGGTTCGTTTGCATATAGGCTAAATGAAAAAAAAAAAAAAAAAAGAAAAGAAAAAAAAAACTATTAGAATAATCTGCTCCTCTAGCAAGAAGTTTGCAAGATGTCCGCAAATGAGACTGGAGGATTACCGTGTGAAGAAAAACTTTGATCTAAGATGCACGTCGCAAGCAATGAAGAAGCATGTGCCACCAGCGTGTTAAGTACGGCGCACTCTTACAACCCGTCGTGCGTGCTTAGAGATCGTGCGTCCTCGGAGTTCTTGTCAGGCGTAGCGTTGTCGCAGGATGAAAATTTAATCGCAGCGGATGTAAGTAGTAAGTACTTTATGAGTAGATATTTAAACGTGGGGCCCGCAAGAGGTCTGTACGCCTTTTTTGGAAGTAGGAAGAAGTAAGGAGCACGTACGATCTGTACTTGTGTCGCACACAGTGTGTGAGATAATCGTACGTGTATTGCAAGTGAAGCGCACGTTTTCAGAAATCGTACTTACGAAGTTAGAGAAACGTAAGAGAAACGTAATGAGCACATTAAGTGTTAAACACGACACTCGTGCGTCAAATTGGTGGAAAACACGGATAATCAAAATAATATAAAAGGGAGCACCGAGCCCCTCATCATTCACTGTTTTGGCTTTCAAAATGGCACTTCCAAACTGAGAGCAGACTTCGTATCAGCGGGGAGAGAGGCGCACGATGCACCTATAAGCAAGTACTTGTAACGCACTTACACACACTGGACAAAAGAAGTGTCACCCCTACTGAGCCAATACTATGGGGGAGATAAATGACTGTCGAATGATATGCTCCTGGTATCATTTTATTAACATCTTACTTCACAAAAAAATCACAAAATCAGAACAAAATGTACATTCTACCAAAATATGCAGTTTCAAGTCCAAAATTAGTACTTAGTGGCATTGCCACGTGACCTAATAATAGGTGCCAGTATACGAAGCAAGGATTCATATAATTGTCTGATGCGTTCAGGGCTTATGCTGGCCCAAGCATGAAACACTGAATATAACAGAGTTTCTCTGCTGGTTAGACGGGCATTTGTCCAAAGTTTTGACATATAATTCCACACATTTTCTATTATGGATCTCCGGGTTCGAAAATTAAGTACATGTGGTTCAAATGCTTTACCAGCAGTTCGCCAGCATCGTACCCGTCTGTCATCAGAGGTCAGACCAAAACGACACTCATCAGAAAAAAAATATATATATAGGACCAATTGTCATGGACTGTCCAGTTCTAGATCCTATTGACCCTAGTTCACTTTGCGTTGCCTGTTTTGTAACGATATAAGAGGTTTCAGTCTTGCTACCCTGCTGTACAATCTATGAGCATGTAACCGACGCCTGTAAAGCCTCTCTTCTGGTCCTCAAATCAAGTTCGGTCCCTTGGTTCTAAACTGTTTACAAGAAGCTCTATACTGGACCTACACCTGTAAATGTCCATCATTACGAGTTCAAACGTGTTCCCTAAACGTGTCCTTGGCTGACTCTATTATGGTCTCCAATATTTGAGGTTTAAAACTTTGAGAGGCTACCAAAAAACGTACGTAAACTGAATGTTAGAAAGAAATGCATTTCAATTATTTAAAATTGTATTTTATTTGCTATAATACATTCTCAGATTTTTTAAAGAACACAAAAGTTTTGCTGCGTGACTACCTTTAGGATGCTTAAGAATAATACTACAATATTTATGGCGTTCTCTGCCTCATGTTTTAAAGACAGTTACATTCGTGGGTGATTGTTTGCATGTGGTGGTGTGTGTGTGTGGGGGGGGTGCTCACTCACTGCCATAATTGTGCGCTTTTTATTCCGTGTCAAGTTAGTATAAGCTCTTATTTTCATATGGACGCGTTTATTCCCGTGAATTTCCTAAATGTCCACTGGACTGGTATGGTCACGCGTTTTGTGCAAGTAGTAGAAATGGATTATTATTTTTTTTTCGAATCAGCAGATCTAAAATAAACAGAGTTTATTAATAAACGCGCAATATTTTCGTAATTAAAGCCTATTTGCCTGTTTGAGTGCATTTAAACTAAGACGCAACTGACCATAATGTGTGTTTGATTGACGGGGCTGGTTTAGAGATGTACATGCTGCATACCTTGTTGGTATATATACCTAGGCTTTCACAAGCTGTATATCCCATATCATTCAGATAATGTTCAAGTGTTGTTTTGCTACATGATGACAACTTAGCATCCCAATTGTATTGCTTTAGGAGCGTACAGTGAAGGGAATATCATGAAAACCCAGTGATCTGACCAAAGACATTGTAGAGATCCAGTATAACTACGTAGTATAAGTAGGCCTATGCATACCAGTGCAGTTTACTGTTACACAACGCCGTTCTCCCTTGGGCAAAATTAAAGGCTAAAATCCCCGTTTCAATTTACCACTTCAAGGGAAAGATTCAGAACAGCGCCCT